AATTAAAAAAAAAAAAAAACCCAATTAGTTGTAGGGATTTAAGAGAAGAAAACACTCACATGCCAACAAACTGAGGTTAGAAAAAAGAAAGAAGAAATTAGACAGCAGACAAAAAGATGCAAACGGATGCTGTCAAAAAGCAATCCACATACCATCCCAGGTATCTCCACCACCTGAAGGAAAGTTAAGATAACTTAACACAAAAAGAGACAACAAAAGGTTTAGCTAAACTAGTCATGTATACAAATGAGCAAATAAAGTATATGCCAGGATTAGCAAATAAACAGAAAAAATAACCTAAGACACACAGAACCTACATGCTCACAAGGGCACAAAGTGACTAAGAAAATCTGTCAGAAGGACAAATGTAAAGAACAAAAAAATCCCAGCACTTTAGGAGGCCGAGGCGGGTGGATCACCTGAAGTCAGGAGTTTGAGACCAGCCTGCCCGACATGGCGAAACCGCCCCCCCATCTCTACTAAAAATACAAAAATTAGCTGGGCATGGTGGCATATGCCTGTAGTCCTAGCTACTTGGGAGGCTGAGGCAGGAGAATCACTTGAACCCGGGAGGCGGAGGTTGCAGTGAGCCAAGATCATACCATTGCACTCCAGCCTGGGCAAAAAAAGGAAAAATACATAAATGCTAGCTTCAAGAAACTTTTTTATTAGGAGACTCGCAAAAAGTAAAAAGCATATTTCACAATAGTTTTTGGTTAAGAAATAAAAAAAAATAAGTATTCCACTCAGATAGGTGAAAATGTATAGAACGAAAATGAGCTCATGGAATGCGATATAAATCTTCTGAATGTTTATCTCACCTTCTGTTTCCATGTCTTGCCCTTTCGGAGCCTCCCCAATATCAATGGTGAACATCACTATTTTTGGAGTCATGGTAGACATCCGGTTACTAAAACAAAATTTGTATATTCCGTCCATGTGAGCAGCAAATGTGTATTTCCCACTGGATTCTCGGTCTCCTTTGTAAATCCCTTTATTATCTGGTCCTGTAATCTGGAGGCAAGAGAGAAATACAGAAAATGTCACAAAAGCTCTACAGTCATAAATTTGTAAGTACTCGACTAGTGCCAGTGCTCGACTTACGACCACGGTCGGGACCGCGGACCGGTCATAACACGATTTGGTCGTAAGTTGAGTAGGCTATATGTACAGTTGAAATGATGCACGCGGAGATGGTAGTGCTGCCGGAAGCTGGTCCACACTGTCATACGCCCAGCTGAGCAACGTTTGCGCTGCCAGACGCGGAGCAGTCGTGGCTAGCGATTGTGGTCGTAAAGTCGAATGGTCGTAAGTTGCATAGGTGGTAAGTCGATCAATACCTGTAATGTCTAATGGCAGTAAGAAATGCACCAAGAATGTGGCCAGGCATGGTGGCTCACGTCTGTAATCCCAGCACTTTGGGAAGCCTAGGCGGGCAGATCACCTGAGGTCAGGAGTTCAAGACCACCCTGGCCAATGTGGTGAAACCCCAACTCTACTAAAAATACAGAAATTAGCCAGGCCTGGTGGTACTCGCCTGTAATCCCAGCTACTCCAGAGGCTGAGGCAGGAAAATCACACAGGAGGTGGAGGTTGCAGTGAGCCGAGATGGCACCATTGCACTCCAGCCTGGGCAACAGAGAGAGACTCATCTCAAAAAAAAAAAAAAAAAGGAAAGAAATTCACCAAGAATATGTAACTTAGGCTTAGCTCCACTTCAGTAAGTGATAATAACCATTTTGGGCTGCAATTCTCCCATTTTATAAAACAAGGATTGTCTTCATGGCTCCCTAAAACACCTTTTGGTTCCGACATTTATGTCTTATTTGGCCTTATTAAACCCCTCAGAAACAGAAACCTCACTTTCCATGTGGTCTCCAACTAGCCTAATATCACCAGCAAACATGCAACTATGACTGACAGCAAAACTCAAGTAAAAATACATCTCTTTAAAATGAGGAATTTCTGCATCCCTGCTTGACATCTTGATGACAACCTCATGAGAAACCCCAAGCCAGAACCACCCAGCTAAGCCTCTCTGTAATTCCTGGCCACAGAAACCATGAGAGATAATATTTGTGGTTTTTAAAAACATAAACAAAATGAATTCTTGTCAAATCAAATTTCAAGGTTTTCCAGATTTCTGCCAAACAGTGAAGAAATTCTGCTTTATCTGAGATGCCTTAAGTCTTAAAGGAAAGGACAGGCCTGGCAATGAGAAAATTCTCATCCCGGTCTGCTATAAATCAGCTGTTAGGTTGTGGTCAAGTCAGTCGCTCTTTTAAAGGCCATGCCACTTGCACAACTTCGAGACTGGAATTCTTAGCTTAAGTCTAACAGTCTCTCCCTTATTTTTGGATTTCACTTGTATTGTGTAACTTGTGCCCAGCCCTACTGAGTACACTGTCAAATGGAAACTCCTTAGACCCAATTAATCATGCTGGCAGGTGAGTTAAAATACAAATTAGTGACACATCACTCTTTTGGTTTAAAACCACATGGGTGGAGGCTGGGCGCCGTGGCTCACGCCTGTAATCCTAGCCCTTTGGGAGGCCAAGGTAGGCAGGTCACCTGAGGTCGGGAGTTGGAGACCATCCTGGCCAACATGGTAAAACCCCGTCTCTACTAAAAATACAAAAATTGGCTAGGTGTGGTGGTGCACGCCTGTATTTCCAGCTACTTGGGAGGCTGAGGCAGAAGAATTGCTCGAACCCGGGAGGAGGACGTTGCAATGAACCAAGATTGTGCCGCTGCACTCCAGCTCTGGGCGACAGAATGAAACTGTGTCTCAAAAAAACAAAACAACAACAACAACAAAAATGAGTGGAGATTTAGGGACTGCTGGTTTCTTAATTTCCTGTTTTCTCCTGATACTTCACTGCACTTCTTACTCCTAAACGAATGACCCAATTCCCCATCTCTCCTAGGCAGAGAAAACTAAACGAGATAGCCAGATGTTTGAGTAAATGTGAGCAGAACCTTAAGGTTGCTTCTATGAAAAATAAACATAACGCCACAGTATGCCTAACATTCCTCAATAGTTTTTTTTTTAATCCTTAACAGATTTTAATCTATTTTTTGGAAAAGTTTCCGTGCCACGTTCGAACATTAATCCGTAACACGATGGAAAGCAGGTGCTAACTGGATCGAGACCCGCCACCAGCTAACCGCAACTGAGAAGCGCCTTCGGGGCCCGGACTGACACGCGGCGCCTGATTCACAACGCTCGGCGAGAGGTTCCAACGGGAACCAGTCGTTCAAGGAGAGAACCCAAAGCAACCAAGCATGCCGAAGGAGCCCCGAAGGAATCCCGGAATTCCGGCAAGCCGCGGGAAAAGGTGCTGTTACGAGGTCGCCGTGGCCGGGGCGGGGCGGGGGGATGGCGGCCCGAGTTTCTCCAGGAATCGGACAGCGACTTCCAAGCCCGCTCCCCAAGCAGGCACCGCGCCGGCCCCAGGTGCCAGCAATCCCCGAGCGGCCACGCGACCAAGCCTCGGCCGCGGGCAGCTCGCCCGCACCTCCACGTCGATGTCCAGGAAGCCGCCCTCCGCCACCTCGAAGATGAGGCCCATCTTGGTGCCCGAGGTGACCCGCTCAAAGAAGCACTCCTCGGCATGCGCGTCGATGCTAACGAAGTAGCCCGAGACCGTGGCCAGGAGAGCGGCCAGGAGCACCAGCAGTTCAGCAAGCGTCACCATGGTGGGGCTGAGGCCGAAGCCAGGACCCGGACTGCGGCCTCCGGAGCCGCCACCGCCGCCGCCGCCGCCGCCGCCCCGCTGCCTTCTCAGCCGCCGCCGCCTAAGCTCCGCCCCTTCCGCCTGCGCCACCAGAGGGGGCTGATGCGGGCGCAGTGGATTGGCGGACCCCGGCAGCTGCCACGTAACGGACGCACGGCAGCCGCCGAGGGACAAGCGGCTCTGCGCGGCCCGAGCCTGGACGGCGGCTCCAAAGGACCAAAAGTTTTTCCCTAGTCCTTTAGCGCCGAGACTAAAATTCACGTGGACTTTCCAGGAAAACGACAGTGTCCAGACGCCTCTGCAGTGCCCTCTCAGCACTGTCCAGGAAGGTGGCGAAAGATTTGCAGGCAGCGATAGGAGTGGAGGGAATGTGCGGGCTGAAACCAAGGTTGTGTTGTTTCGTTTGGTTTGGTTTTGTTTTTGAGACGGAGTCTCGCTCTGTCGCCCAAGTTGGAGTGCAGTGGCGTGATCTCGGCTCACTGCAACCTCCGTCTCCCGGGTTCAAGTGATTCTCGTGCCTCAGCCTCCCGAATAGCTGGGATTACAGGTGTGAGCCACCACGCCCGGTTAACTGTATTTTTTAGTAGAGACGGGGTTTCGCCATGTTGGCCAGGCTGATCTCGAATTCCTGACCTCAAGTGATCCGCCCGCCTCGGCCTCCCAAAGTGCTGAGATTACAGGAGTGAGCCCCTGCGCCAGGCCTAAAGCCAAGGTCTTTGAGGGGTGTTTGTTTGTTTGCTTAGAGACAGGGTCTTGATCTGTCGCCCAGGCTAGAGTGCAGTGGCAAGAGGCTGCTCAGTGCAGCCTCCAACTCCTAGGCAAGTGATCCTCCTCAGCCAACCCAGTAGCTGGCATTACAGGCGCGAAATCCGCTGTTTTTTAGGTTTTATGTTGGCCTCTCCCTCTACTTCCTGTGGGCTGCGGAGCGGTGGAGGTTCATATAGACCTGAAATGGGCACGAGGGATCCTCCCGGGTTGCTGGAATGTTCCAGTATCTTTACCTAGGTGGTGGATACATGGATGTCTCCATGTTTTTAAAAAATCAATTAGACTGTTGCATTTTTATTTTATTATTATTATTATTATTATATTATTATTATTATTATTTTGAGACGGAGTTTCTCCCTTGTCATCCAGGCTGGAGCACAATGCCCTGTCTCAGGTCACTGAGACTTCTGCCTGCCAGGTTCAATCGATTCTCTTCCCTCAGCCTCCCGAGTAGCTGGACTTACAGGCACCTGCCACCATGCCCAGATAATTTTCATATTTTTGATAGAGACGGGGTTTCACCATTTTGGCCTGGCTGGTCTCTAACTCCTGACCTTCAGGTGATCCACCTGCCTTGGCTTCCCAAAGTGCTGGGATTACAGGTGTGAGCCACTGCGCCCACAACTATTGCATTTTATTTCACTGTATGTATGTAATACCTTAACCACACACACAAAATTACCTTGTTCAAATTTCCCAAAGTTAGAATTCTACCATTTCCCCAAAGTCTTGCTGCATCTCCATACCTCTTAGCCCTTGCCAGCTGCTGGGGTTGTCTTTTCATCCTTTGCACCCTGGCATACTCCTATTCATCCCTCAGAACCCAAATGTCACCTCTTATCTCTAAAATGTTCCTAGACATCCTTTTGCCAAATATCCCTTCCTCTGTGTTTACAATGCAGATTTCTTGAAGGCACCAGACTTGATCTAAGTAGGCTGTCCTCCCAGGCCCTGCCACAGGGCCACAGAAGGACTTCACACATGTCAATCGAGGTCACTGGGCTGACCTGGGAATGAGGAGCCTGGGTTGCTACTCCCCTTTTGCACATAGCTGTGTGACCTTGATTCTTTTCCACCACGTCCTGGCCTCGGTTTCCTTATCTGTAAAAAGGGAATGACACACAGGCCTTCAAAATTGAAGGGATTATTTCTTTGAAGACCAACAGGCAATAGGGGGCAGTAGTGTCCCAGGATCCTGTTTCCCACTTCAGGTTTCAAGAAACAGGAGCCGTTGCCATGATGCAGGCTTCCTGCCTGTAACAATGTACAGCTGACCCTTGAACAACACGGGGGTTAGGGGCACTGACCCCTGCATAGTCCAAAATCCTGGGCTCTTTTTTTTTTTTTCTGACGTGGAGTCTCTTGTCACTGAGGCTGGAGTGCAGTGGCATGATCTCAGCTCACTGCAGCCTTGCATTCCTGGACTCAAGCAATCCTCCCACCTCAGGCTCTGGAGTAGCTGGGACCACAGACACAAGCACCCACGCCCAGCTAGTTTTTTTGTTTATTTTTTGTTTTGTTTTGTTTTGTTTTGTTTTTACTATTTGTAGAGATGGAAGTCTCCCTGTATTACCCAGGCTAGTCTTGAACTCCTGGGCTCAAGCAATTATCTCACCTTGGCCTCCCAAAGTCCTGGGATTATAGGTGTCAACCACCATGCCTAGCTTTTGTTTGTTGTTTGTCTGAGATGTAGTCTTGCTGTGTCACCAGGCTGGAGTGCAGTGGCGCGATTTCAGCTCACTGCAACCTGAGCCTCCCGAGTAGCTGGGACTACAGGCGCATGCCACCACGCCCAGCTAATTTTTGCATTTTTAGTAGAGACGGGGTTTCACCATGTTGGCCAGGATGGTCTCCATCTCCTGACCTTGTGATCTGCCTCACCTCGGCCTCCCAAAGTGCTGGGATTATAGACATGAACCACCACGCCTGGCCTATACAACTCTTTTTGACTTCCCAAGCAACCCAACTGCGGAAGAATGCTTTGAACTGATTAAATAATATTCTAGGTCCACCTATCAGGGAATTAAAATGTGGGACTGGGCACAATGCCTCACCCTTGTAATCTCAGCACTTTGGGAGGCCAAGGGGCGGGCGGATTGCTTGAGTCCATGAGTTCAGGACCTGCCAGGGCAGCATAGCAAGACCCCATCTCTACAAAAAATAGAAAAACATTAGCCAGGCATGGTGGCACATACCTGTAGTCCCAGCTACTTGAGAGGCTGAGGTGGAAGGATCACCCAAGCCTGGGAGGTCCAGACTGCAGTGGGCCAGGCTGTCATAGTGCCACTGCACTCCAGCCTGTGTGACAGAGTGAGACTCTATATCCCATAAATAAAGAGTGGACATTTTTAGGATCTCAGTGGAACACAGTGAATTGTATATTGTAGGGTTTTATTATATAAATCATGGGACTCAAATTCGAACGCCTTCAGGGATCAAGCAGTTGTATGAATCAGAGATGGTACTAGCATCAGCAGTAGGAGCGGGGAGGATTGTGGCAAACTGAGTCATAGGATGTCATACCTGAATACATTCAATTCCAATGTCTGAAAACACTGGCAGCGCCACCACATCCAGCTAATTTTTTTGTATTTTTAGTAGAGACAGGGTTTGACCATGTTGGCCAGGATGGTCTTGATCTCCTGACCTCGTGATCTGCCCGCCTTGGCCTCCCAAAGTGCTGGGATTACAGGCATGAGCCACCACGCCTGGCAGTTTTGGCTATCATTAATGCTGCTATAAACATTTGGCAGGGTCTGGTAGCTCACGCCTGTAATCCCAGCACTTTGAAAGGCTGAGGCAGATGGATCAGTTGAGACCAGGAGTTTGAGACCAGCCTGGCCAACATGGCAAAACCCTGTATCTACTAAAAAAAGAAAATTAGCCAGGCATGGCGGTGCATGTCTATATTCCCGGCTGTTCAGGAGGTTGAGCCACGAGAATCGCTTGAATCCGAGAGGCAGAGCTTGCAGTGAGCCAAGATTGTGTCATTGCATTGACAGGATTTCACCATGTTGGCCAGGCTGGTATTGAACTGACCTCAAGCAATCAGCCTGCCTTGGCCTCCTAAAGTGCTGAGATTACAGGCCTGAGCCTCTGCACCCGGCCTTCATCACTTTTTTTTTTTTTAAAGGTATTGTTGCCTTGTTCCTGTGAATCCCTTCCTCTGGGAAAGCAGCTATCATGGCATGAGGACACTCAAGCAGCTCTGGGAGAGACCCCATGTGGCAAGAAGCTGTGGCTTCCTACTAGCAGCCATGCAAGATTCCTCAGCCACAGCCGAGCCTTCAGATGACTACATCCCCAGCCAATATCTTGACGGCAATATCATGAAAAACCATGTATCAGAACTGCTCAGTCATGTTGCTCTCAAATTCTGGACCTACAGAAACCATGAAAGACAGTAAATGATTATTGTTGTTTTAAGTCACTATGTTTTGAGCTAAATTCTTACACAGCAATAGATAGTAATGCTTTTTTTTAGATGGATTCTTGCTCTGTCATCAGGCTGGAGTGCAGTGGTGAGATCTCTGCTCACTGCAACCTCCACCTCCCAGGTTCAAATGATTCTTCTGCCTCAGCCTCCTGAGTAGCTGGGACTACAGGCACGTGCCACCACACACAGCTAATTTTTGTATTTTTAGTAGAGATGGGTTTTCACCATGTTGGCCAAGATGGTCTCGATCTCTTGAACTCGTGTTCCACCCACTCAACCTCCCAAAGTGCTGGGATTACAGACGTGAGCCACTGCACTGGGCCACTAATGCATATTTTAACCAATTTCTACATTAAAACCTTTCTGTTGGAAAGGCCTGGAGTGTTTTTTTATTTTTCTGTCCAAGAGTAAAAAAATAAAAGAGTAAAGAAGATGGAGTATCTAAATACAGTCATGTGTTACTTGATGACAGCAATACATTCTGAGAAACGTATGGTTGGGCAATTTTGCAGTTGTGCAAACATCACAGAGTCCACTAACACAAAGCTAGATGGTATGGTCTACTGCACACTTAGCTATAGGGTACAGCCCATTTCTCCTAGGCTTCAAACCTGCACAACATGTGACTGTACTGAATACTGTAGGCAATTGTGACACAAAGACATTTGTGTATCTAAACATAGAAAAGGTACAGTAAAAACATGGTATTATTTCAAGAGACTGCTATCGTATATGCGGTCCATCATTGACTGAAACATTGTCATGCGGTGCACGACAGTATTATAAGGGTTACTTATAAGTGAATGTTGGAGAATGTGGCTTGTAGATGTAGCCAAATATGGTTGTACAGAATGCTGAAGCCCAGATTTAAACATACCGAGCCAGTTTTGTGATGTACCCTCACAGATACGTCAGGAGGAGAGTGGGCTCCTGTGTGGGCAGAGCCTGATCATATAAAACTATGGTAGAAAGGGGCAGAAGGGCTGCTTCCCAAGAGAAAGGGGAGGGGAAGTGGCTGGGCAGAGCATGCCCAGTTTGTCCTTCTCTACACACACACACACACACACACACACACACAAATTCGCTGGGCATTGTGGCACAGTGACTGGAGCCCCAGTTACTCAGGGGGCCAAGGCAGGAGGATCACTTGAGTCCAGGAGGTTGAGGCTACATTGAGCAATGACCAGGCCAGTGCACTCCAAGTTGGGTGACAGAGCAAGACCCTGTCTCAAAAAAAAAAAAAAAAAAAAAAAAAAAAAAAAAAAAAAAAAAAAAAAAAAAAAAAAGTTATTTATACACATAACAACTTAAATAAATCTTAAAATCATTATCCTGAGATTGAGTGTGGTGGCTCATGCCTGTAATCCCAGCACTTTGGGAGGCTGAGGTGGGTGAATCACTTGAGGTCAGGAGTTTGAGACCAGCCTGGCCAATATGGGGAAACCCCTTCTCTACTAAAAATACAAAAATTAGCCAGGCATGGTGGCGGGCGCCTGTAATCCCAGCTACTCAGGAGGTTAAGGCAGGAGAATCACCTGAACCCGGGAGGCAGAGGTTGTAGTGAGCCGAGACTGCACCACTGTGCTCCAGCCTGGGCAACACAGTGAGACTCCATCTCAAAAAAAAAAAAAAAAAAAAAAAAAAAAAAAAAAAAAAAAACTCCATCAAAAAAAAAAAAAAAAAAAAAAGGAAAAAAATCATTATGCTGGGTGAAAGAAGCAGGACCAGAAAAAGTACATACTGTCTGACTCCACTTATTTAAAACTAATCCACAGTGACAGAAAGGAGATCAGTAGTTGCCTGGGTGTGCTATGTGCTATGGCAGGGAGGGGTTGGAGGGAGACACGAGGAAATTTTGGGGCATGATGGAAATGTTCGCTATCTTGATCGTGGTGATAGTTTTACAGGCGTGTACATGCTCAATGTTAATGAATCAGCAACTTATATTCAACAAGGTGTCTTTAAACAGAAACACACATAAAACAAGGTTATGTATTGATCAGTTGTTAAGAATGTTGTGAGCAGAGGCTCCCAGGAACCTAATCCTGCATTTTCCCTAGAAGCGATCATTCCATATTTGATCATTCAATGTTTACAGTGTCTTTTAAAATATAACTACTGCAAATAATTAAGATAGACCCTCACATATATGTGTGTATATACGTGCACACACATACACACACCACATAAAGGGAGATGGTGCACAAGAGCGAGCAAGTCCTGTTTCACCCCTCCCAAATAAAAATTATTCAAGGACAGAGACTATATTTCTAGTGCCCAGTCCTCAGTAAATATTTGTTTAATGAATGACTGGTACCCACCTTATAGGGCTGTTGTGGGAATTGATAGCTCACTCAAAGCATTTAATGTAGTGCCTGACCCATAGTAACTGTTTATGCATTCATTTATTTATTTATTTTTGAGACAGTCTTGCTCTGTCACTCAGGCTGGTGTGCAATGGCGCGATCT